CTCTTTACCCCTCACTTCCTCCCTGTAGCACGGCGATGCTCCGTATGTTGGTGATGACACACCGGAGTAGGACTGCCCTGGCTAGGCTAGGTCTATCCTGTTTCCCGCCTACTCGTATAAATTGCCCAACTTTGGAAGATGAACGTGGATAATGCAGTCGAATCAGGACTCGCAGTCGCTGCAGTATCCCCGTTTGTTGGTCGCTTTTTGGTGTGTCGTATGACAGCTTTAATTTAGTGTTGGTGGTCCCGATCGTAGTCGAAGCAGGATGAACTATGGAAGCTGCTGCATGTGCTACGTTCCGTTCCTCCCGCTGCCGTGTCCCATTTGCGTCGCAAGATTACCTCCATTCAAGCTTCTCCCCGAGCTAGAAGATACAGTAGCCCAGAAGATGTTGCGGAGAGGGCGGCGATGTAGCAGATGGTGCCAAAAGATATCAGATAAGATTAACAAAGTGTCTTAAAATATGAGACTTACATTAGAGACAGCAACCCATCGAAATAATGGGATGAAATCGGGTCCGTGAATATTATGGTATTATTGACTTCAATATATTGCAAGTGCGACGAGCCTCAAGAGATAGCAAGGTCCCCTCTGCAGCAAAGTGAGACAGACTCCTGACTATCGATACTGCAGAGGGCATATCAGTTTGCTACGTATGCATCACTGCAGCAGGAATAACTGATAGAAGTGACAGCTGCGCCCCGTTAAACCCAGACTCATCCTCTGTTTGTGCTTGAGGTTAGAAGAAGCGCGCAGGACGCCATGGTTAAGCAATACACATACATACACATAGATGCTGCAGGAGTGTGAGTACAGCGTCTGCACTCCACACCCGCCCTTTTAGTGTCGAAACAGAAGTATCCAGTATGCCAACAATGCAGGAGGACCAACAAGGCTGACCGAGTAGCTCTCCGCATAATCAACCGTGGAGAAATGAATAGCGCTGTACCAGTACGGCCCGTGTGTACTTGGTACCTGGTACTCTGTACTATACTCGGCAGACTGTGCCATCCAAGTACCATGGTTGTAGTACGGTAATTGTTGGACTTCCTTTGCGTGTCTTGCCCTTGTTTCTACCCGTTTACTTTCGGTCCTATAAGAGCGCGTTCCCATCATCGCATCCCTTCCCTGCGGATGATGCGCTCATGCTTCTTAGAGCCCGAGACCGAGACTGGGTACGCAGCGTAGTATTTCTCGATCTTTTGCCCGAATGCGCCTCCCTGCGGACGCCGCCCCAAGAAGTCCCTTTCTTAGCTGAGGTGGGCTTCAAAGTATTTACTTACCTGACTAGACTGTATTTACCTAATAACAACTCCTGGCGCTTGGCTCGTGACTTCAGGAAATAGACAAACGGAATAGCCGGTAAGGTAAGGTAGTCAGCTAGAAAAATTGAAACTCAGGGTGCTTTTAAAACCGTCGAGTCGTACATCGTGGATTGCTTGCCACTGGGAACACTAGAAAGCTAGCGAGTTCGTGTCGCCAGCGGGTACTCCCTGGACCCTGCACGGATCACTCAGGGATTCTTCAGGGATCTCAACACCCACCGGTCAGTGGGTACCCGTCGGGGCCGTCGATAGCCAGCGACTTGGGTCGCATCGCCTGGGGGGTGTGAGCAGGCGACACCGCGACCGCGGTTCCAGAAGCGCATCTGGCCTGGCTCTTGCTCTTTTCTCTTTCTTCCTCCCCATAACCTCGCAAGTCTCCGCTACCCACCAGCGAGCGTGGGTTTGCCTTGCGGTATATTATCTTCTGTGTTCCTATTGATCAGACTACCCTATTGATCGATGCCGGATGCATCATTGCCACCAACCGGGCCGGAAGTCTAAAGTGCAGTGGCAGGGTGTTCTTGGAGTTTGTTTGGCGGTCGCTTCTGCTGCTCTCAGTTAGTGTCTCTAGGGACCTTGGGCCGAGTTTCTAAGTAGCATAATGATCCCCCACCATAATCGCCATCCGCCGCTATTATTACAAGCCGAGCGAACGGGAGCGCAACCCAACAGGGCGTGGAATCATTATTTGTTGCCCCTCCATCCGTGCCTCTCGAGTCTCAACTCGATAAATCGAATCCATTATTCTCAGCTGGTATTCGTGTCGGTGTGTCATCCCGCAACTTAATTAAGTGCAACAGGTATAGCTACCTTAGGTACCTACGTAACCGTGATTGGATTTCCAAAGCGTGCATCCAATCCTGTCCAGTCCAGGGCGATCGACAGAAGTACATGTCCACGTCGCCATAAGTAAGGTTATTATTTGAGTTGTTGGAGCGCAACGCTGCTCTCTCTCACCTTGTCTCACACTATACTTCGACCACCTCGAGCGGGAAAGGCGTAGTAGCAGAAGCAGAAACAGAAACAGACAGAAGAGGAAGAAGGAGAAGAAGAAGGAAAGAAGAGAAGCAGCAGCAGCAGCAGAAACAAAAACACAACAGGAGCAGAAGCACAAGCACAAGGCAGTTGAAGCACTTGCACTGGCGCTGGCACTGGCACTGGCACTGGCACTGGCACTTACGACGAGCCCTCACCAAAAAAGGAAGCAAGCCTCCTCCCACATCCACATCCACATCCACATCCACATACCTCCGTAGGCCTACGACTCTACGAGTACTTCTCCTCTATACGGAGTACTTCGTACTGGATAGCCTCCGAGCAGAATTAGACGCCCGCGCCCATCAACCGTTCGTCGACGCATCTCGTTAGGCCCAAGGACTAGGACAGGCATAAGGCCAGGGATCAGCATCCATCCCGAATCGAAACGATCCAACAGCCCAAACCTTGACCCCTCCCCCTCCATCCATACTCCGTAATCCATCCCATCCTACTGTATCCTGTCCCGTCCCCCGTCATCAAATATTCCCTTCCCCTCGCCCCCAAAAGATTCCTCCCGTCAGACCATCGGGCTGCTTTCATCCATCCACCATCCCTCGTCCAGATTTTGAAAAAAGTTTCACCCTCAAAAATATCCCACCAAAACTGCCATCCAATTCCAACACCAACCCAATCCGTCCTTTGCACACCGTTTGCGACCGACCATCTTTTCATTTTTCGCAGCAGCAGTTGCACTAAAAGCAACAACCACAAAAAGCGCCTCGCATCGCACCGTTTACCGCAGGCCGTGTCGCATCCCGCATCTCGCCTCTGTTGGCCGCAGGAAAAGAGACCATCTTTTAACGTCGAAGTAGTTGGGACCGAAACTTTCGAAGAGCCCCATAAACGCCGGTTGCGGCCTTGCGCGATTCGGAATTCCCTCCTTTTCAACCATCCCAAATCCATTGCGCGCCTGCTGTCATCATAAATGCTTCTGGAGATTTCATTCATTGGTCGAGAGTTGTTCTAGCGATTTTAAAAACGGGTGATTCCAGGATTTGCAACTTTAGAAGGAAAGAAGTGAAGGAATAATTGCGACTTGGGGGAGGAATTTCGAAACATCGCATCCCACCAAGAACCGGCGCAAAAGAAGCCCCTCAGCACGGCTTGAAGATCCGACTTCCCGGTGATATCCAGACCTTGCCGTATTCATAGGTGTGGAAAGAGTCGCATTCCCTAGACTGCTTGTATTTTCGCAGTTGGATTTTGGGACCGTAAATCTGAATTCGCTGTTGCCATTGGGCCGTTCACGTCGTATTTCCACTAAGGGAAAGTTCCACGAGACTAAAGGAGGGGAAAAGAAGGTACGCAACCCAAGCCCAAAGAGATTTCAGTCATCATATGATACGGTGTGTGGAATAATTGAGGGGATCGAAAGCTTACAGAAAGCGTTATCCCTAATCCCGCCGACACCGTTTCGTATTGTCGCGTAGTGCAAGTTACGGAGGCTAAACCCCAATTCTAGTTCTACTTGCGCTCTGTGTGGACTATCTGCATTCACCACGGACTATTGCCTGCCTACCTAGGTATTCACGGTAAATAAGTCAGCAGTTGATTTCGCAGAAATAGAGCGACGATAGTGATACACTATTTACTACCGGGCAGCCAGTCAATTCAAATCAAGCCTGGTTTAAGCCAAGTAACTCCCTTAACCTCACTTCAAGCGACAAGCCGCTCGCTGTCTGCACGTAATAAGACTGCAGGAAGCGTCGACCATCCGCCGCTGCGGGAAAGGGAAGGGAAGTTAGGGAGGCACGATTCGGGCCCTACCACCGACCACCCTACCACATACCACCTATCTCCCTTGAGATTGAACTTGTCTACCCACCATACCTTACACCTTACTACTATCACCTTAGTGAAAAAGGTGTCAGGAGACTAACGGCTAAAGTTTAGCTAAGCCTTTGAGCTCTGTGATCCCGGTCATCACCCACTGGCCTACCTGCCTAGGTATACCTAACATCTTCTCCAAAACCGGCCCAAAGCTAAAGGAAGCCAAACCAGCCAAGTAGCCAATTGCACGCTGAATTTCCAATTCCAATACTGGACTGGGTCTGCGTGTAGTAATATCACTCGGGTGCTGCTACGAATACTTTGTACTAATACCGCCGGACCGTCCCCCACTACAACTACCAGGCTCACTTTCCTTACCTTGCCTTGTGCTCGCGCTCCCACGCACACACCGTACAATCGATCATCGACATAACCCCAGCTCAGCAAGTCCAGTCAGCCCCACCAAGTAATATTACTCAAAGTGCCCTCGTTGCATTTCTTTCTTTTATTTACACACATACACAATTTCTCGATTCTGCAGACTTGCCCTGGACTTCCTCTGCGCTTCAGCTGGACTGTTTACGCCTCCACTGTCGCTGAGCTGTTGTTTCTGGTAGTCAAATCCACTCCTTGAGGCGCCCGGAACCCCCCTTTTGGCCACGCTCGACAAGTCCCGGAGACCACCAATTAGATAATCTGTGCATGTTCAACTAGCGGCCGTACATCTGCGACCAGTTGAGTACCCTCGGGAGCATCTATCGGGCCAACAGAACCCTTAGAGAGTAGATCAGACGAGTCGAGTCGAGTCGAAAACTCCCCCACGTTAATCCCAAAACCTTCACCGTGGCTATCTACGCTTCAACCATGTCTTACCAGGATCAGAGTGGTGGTTATCCACCGCCACGCGAGCAAGAATCGCGATACCCCCCGCCTCCAGGCGAGGAAGACGACAGATCGGGGGCATACCATCAACGCGCTCCTTCAACTAGCAGCAATGTTACATTGCCGTCCATGTCTCCCTATGATCCTCAATATGCACAGCCGCCAAATGGATATGGTCCAGATCCGCGAGCCTATCCACCACAACCACAGGATCCGTATAGACAGCAGGCCCCTGGAGGCTATAGGGATGACAGAGCTTATCAGCAGGATTATAGCAGAGGTGGACCGCAACAAATGAACTTCAGCCAGTCAGCCCCTAGACAAAGAACCGCGATCGCATGCCGGTATTGCAGAAGGCGCAAGGTAAGAATATATATTTTCTTCTTGGAAAGCGCATTATTGCGTCCATGTACTATCTCGGGGCTTTGAGGCCGATCAATTATTCGGGAAATGATTAAACACGTTACTGACTATCTTGCAGATTCGTTGCTCAGGTTTCGATCAAAACCCAGAAGGTCGTTGCTCAAACTGCCAACGCTTCCAACAAGATTGTATCTTCACTCCCGTATCTTCTCAAGCACAGGCTTTTGTTCCTGCGCACACAGTTTACCCAGGTATGCGCAACATGGGAATTGGCCCTGACGGACGCCCGCGCCCAATGTACCCACAAGGAACACAACTCTTTGGAGCCCACGGGCAACCTCTGGGACCTATTCCGCAACCAAATCCCCAAGCATCTCCTTACGAATATCCAGCGGCCTCCCCAACGAGCTCTTTTGGTTCTGGCATCGACGTAGCTCACCGCGGATCTCAACCCCCACATCCTCAGGATCCTTCGCGCAAAAGACCCCAGCAGGATCCCCATCCCTCAATTCTACCACCCCCAATGCCGAATCAGCCCCCTTATCAACGTTCGGATAGTGCTAATCGCCGTTCTGCTGTTGAGGATGACTTGCGTCTTCCACCTGTCACTCCTACAGGTGCGCCTCAGTCAACCTCAAACTACTCTCCAGGATCTAGTACATCCTCGCATTCGAACCTTCAGCCCCCACAACAGCAACAAGGTCTTCCGTCAATGAGTCGCACTCCGCCACCGCGCAATAGCCCCGGTGGTGAAGGTAGATCCGATCCTATGAGCATTGGAAATATCATGGAACGAAGACCAGATACCCAGATCGATAGGAGTATGCTAGGTCGATTGGACCGGAAGGGTTAATAATTCCAAGCTCGAAAACCACGGTCTTTTTCGATTGGAAGATCTGTGCGTCTGCGCCGTGGGTTTCCTGGCGGAGTTTCTCATCAACGTCTTCCGCATCCTGCGGATTTTCTTGTTTATCAGTGTGGCGTGCGACGTGGACTTTCTTCGGAGAGTATTTGCACATAATGGGAGGGTAATGCAGGGTTTCTATTCCCAAGGTCTCAGCTATTCAGGATCGAGTTGTTCAGAATCCAGTCGGTCGGCATTCGGTTATCAAAATTTCCCAGTCCCTCTGGCTGAATCAGTTGCTACGGCGCTTTGGTTTCGATATATCGGGGAGCCTATTTCGGAGGTTTCCGACACAATTATAGACAACAATCGGCTCAGCTTCTCTTATGGGTTCTGCGGCTTCTTCTGCAACCTGGTGGCTGGTGGTTGGTGGCAACACAAAAGTCGTTACCTGTATTGAAACTCCTAGTTGGCGTTTGCTACATGCTATTCGGAAAAATACGTTGGATTGGGGGGGCTTTTGTACATGGAGGACGCAACCGTATTTTCTTTTCCCGTCAAACAACAAAAACTGGAGGCTCAGCTGGCTAGTCTTCCTCTCAAAACAACCAAACGTCTTTTTTTTCTTCCCTCCTCGGTCGGTCCTTTTTCTTTGTTATTACATTTTGCCATGGCAGCTGTGGGTGTGGTGGGAACAACGGCGTCAAAAGAAACTAGATGGTAACGCCTCGCGGCAAAACATGTGGGTGTTTGGGTGGGAGGTCTTTTGCTTTACCGCGTGCGCTTTTGCTTTGGTGGTGGTGGAAGGGGAGTGGATGGGGAGTGCTTGCGTTTTGTTTTTTGTGTTTATTTTTGTATGTATGCTGTGTGTCTGTCTGGTTGGTTGGCTAAGTGTATACTAGTACGCGAGTGAACGACCGAGCGTGGGAGGCAAGGGGAGGGGAAGGGATAATAAATACGAGTAAAACCCGTAGTAATAAGAGTCGAACGTAAATACTGTCACTTTTGTTTTTAAGTGGTGATGTTTGTGATGTTTGTGATAGTGTAGTGGATGTTCACCTGATGTTTGATGCCGGTTTCGAATGCAGGAACTGGTATATAAGATAATGATACTCCGTACCTACTGTACGCTTATCTCAATAAACCAGCCATTCAGCCAGCCAGCCAGCCATCCATCTATCGAAGCTATGTAGAAAGCAAGCAAGGGAGCAAGCAAGCATACCCCACATCCCATCTATCCATCCCTGTACATACCATCTATATTGATTGCATCGTAAATGCACCAACGCACCCATCTCACTCCAGAGTCCCACCCAACCAACCCATCACTCAAGAAACCCAATAAACTCCACCTCCATCTGCACTTCCCCTTCTTCTTCTTCCTCTTCCGTATAATCATCATGGCCCTCACTATCGTCTTCTGCATCCCAGTTGTACTCTTCTTTGCGCTCGTCGATCTCGTTGGATATCTTCCAGAATGCGGTTGGGCCGGCGGGGCCGTGGGGGTCGTGGTCTCTGGGTGAGGGTGGGTGGTTGATTAGTTTGAGAGGGGGGAGAAGGGGAGGGGAGGAGAGGGAAGGAAGGGGGAAAGAGACTTACTTGTCGAACCAATGACCGAATACACCGCGTGCGGAACCAGGTCCGCCGATTTGGATCCCTTCGCTTTTCCATCGCTCTTGGCTGCGTTGGATATCAGGTTAGTTGATGGATGGTGGGGGGTTGGGTTGGTGATGCAAAGTGGGTGGATAGAAAAGATGGGGAGATAGAGATGGAGATGGAGATGCATGGAAAGGATAGGAGAGAAAATAAACGAAGAAATGGGGAAACGAACCCGCTATAAACACTGAACGTAGTCCATCTACACTCTCCCTCCTTCGTCATCCTCACGCTGCCCCTAATATTCGAATTCGCATTCGCGTCGAAACTCGTATGCATACTTCGGGAAACGCCGGCAAAATATACGATGGGCCACGAAATACCCCGTTCGTCAGTACTTGTATTGTCTGGATCGGGTGTTATGGAGGTTACGCGGATTTCCATAATTATTAGTCGGATTGCTTCGGTTATATCGAGGGGTGGGCGGGGGGAGGTTGCAGGGAGTGAGGTCAGGGAGAAGTTGTAGGCGAAGAGGTCGTGGAAATCTGGGGGTTGGAATGGGGGTTAGGATAGAGGGCAGGAGGGAGGAAGTTGGATTGGAGAAATGAGACGGACCTAAGAAGCAGACTACCTGTTTTGTTTCTTGTGTCAGTACGTGATTTCGTGAATAGCTGAGGGGGTTGGATAATCAGAAGGAAGGAAGGGCTTAATTGCTTACACGCATCCAACTCCCGGTAACATTATACGGATCCAGCGCCTCTGCTGGTGGCTAGTTAACAAGTATAGTCAGTATCGTGATATATTCTCCGAGAGCTCCAAACCATATATTTCAAGGTAGATGAATAATGTAGATATTCTTCACATACCGCGGGCTCCTTCAATCCACTGACACTAACCGGTCTAAAGCTTCCCGGACTGGCTCCCATCCAAGGTTCCCTCCACACATGCCTGAAATTATTCCTCGTCCTCTCCACGAACAAATTTAGATTATGCCCTAACACACACATCACCGCCTCCATCTTCTCCCAATCGACGGTCGCCTGCCCATCGCCCATATATGGGCCCCAGAACGTCTCTTCCGTGTACCGCCGCAAGTCGTAGACAATGGAGACGGCATAGGGATAGCTGGGTTTGTAGTGTGTGCGCGAGGGTGAGGAGATGGGGACGCCATATAGGACGTGGAGTTTTGCGCTGGCTTGGGCTTGGGAGGGCGTGGTAGGAGGGTGGGTGTGTGAAGGCAAAGTGGCGCGAGAGAAGAGGGTGGAGCGGCAGAGGTAGGCTTCTTGGTTTGTTTTTGAGTTGAAGAATTGTTGGAGGACGCGGATGTTGAGGGATTCTGGACTGGGGGAGGCGGTATACATTAGATCCGAGATGATGGGTCCTACGGAGGAGAAACGTTGGACCTGATATGTGATGAGTAATTGGTCTTGGGGATGAGGGAGAAGGTCTACCTTTTCTTGAAGCGTGTGCGATCTGGGGAACTGGCCGAGTGCGAATCGTAACCGTACGAATTTTGCAAGCTGGGTCGTCCAGTCCCAGCCTGGAGGTAATGGTTCTGTGGGTTCATCCTATATATGTCTGTCAGCAAGGTCCGAATGCGCTGGTATAAGAGGTATTACTAGAATACGAGTGTAAACCCTCTTATATAATACCCAATCATCAGCTATAGCATCATGGAGATCTCTAGATGTCCTAGATACAGCAGCTAGGTCCAGAGGATCTAGTTCCTTGATGATTTCCTGCTTGATTTCGCGGGGCATATCAGCAAGGGTGGGACCCGGCGCGCCGGCCATGCTGGCTGTGTTAAAGGTGTAAAAGCTACATATATATTGAAAACAGTATTGGGCAGATAGTTGAGAAGCTGTTGTATAAATCCGATTGCCCGTATGTTGTGCTATAGCTGCAGTTGATCTGGTAGTTGGGTTGCGGTCATTGATAAGGTATGCATCATCGGAGTTAATTTAGCTTAAGTTTAAACCCCGCGTTGCAGATGTACCTAGATACCGCAATAGCGGGGTAACACGTGATCGTAGCTCTTCTTCTGAAGCAGGTTAGGTCTGAACGTCAAGTCAGAGGCAGTTTCCAAGCTATGTATAATTAACACTCTTGGCTTTTTTCTTTCGTCTCGGAGACTAAGTTATAATAATACACCACTTTGGAATATACCGTAAATGGCATAGAAAATGTCTCGGTTTAAAAGGGGGGGAAACGAGTGCGTGGTTTCAGTAAAGTTGTATACTCTATTTCAAGAATGATTCGAATAGCTGCATCAATGAAATATACTACATTTTAGCATATATATTATTACTCTAGGTACTTATATAAGATTCATACCTTCCAGGTCCAGCCTCCGTAATCCCAATTGGTTGTTCCTAGAACTATTCTAGCATCTCATCTACACATAGCAATAGAAAGATCCCCTTCTTACTATCACTTGATCCCACCTGTAGTTAATAACTTCTGTCATAGAAGCAAATAATACCTTAGTCAGGGTCAAGATAATAGGGGCTCGCTTACGGATAGCTAAGCCAAAAAGGTCGCTCAGCTCGCTAGGTTTGGTTTAGTCATCCCGTCCTCAGAATACATCGCTTCACAAATATATCCGACCTCAACTCGAAGAATCTATTCTTGGATTTATGACTGACTCTGCATTCTCATTTTGTTGTTGCACCATGGACTCTGGCGAGGATATTGAAATATAAATAAACTCGTCCAATTTCATGTCTAGCGTGGTTGCCTTGTGGGGTCATTCTGCTCCGTCACCCCACTTCACTCTATATCGGGCGCCTTTCACGATCTTTACCTCTTCTCGTAAAGTTTTGGTATTATCGCAGTATAATTTCAATAACACACGCCACATATCATCCAATGGAACTTCCAGATGAGCTTTGTGCAACATGCTCCGACGTCGATTTCTTCTCTCTCTTCACCGGACCTCGCTATTCTTCAGGAGATGGCTATGACCAAAGAGTGCCAGTCTCCTTGGGCACTCTCGCCGAGATCAATGCTAATACTCGTTGTCCATTCTGTCGTCTTCTTCGTCACAGCCTGTATGAGATGGATGTTTTTGATTATTGGTCGCAATCAGGCAATAATGTTGACCCCTCGAAAATCAGGGTGAAAGTTCACGTTTACCGCAATGATTACGGCGAAGAGATGAGATATATTAACGAAGAAACGAGAGACTTGGTAGCTTCTAGATTGGAAGCACGGCTACATCCCCTGGAGGGATTATCAGATCGCGAGAAATACGTGGTCACCCAGCATTACCGTGGGAATGGAATCCATTTATTGTCACCTGACTCGATCGACCCTGCCAGACCATTGCTCAATGGCTACAAGGCCACCACGACAAACAATAGCCTTGACTTACTACAGAAGTGGATGAGGACTTGTGTCGAATCACACACTCTCGAGTCAAACCGAAAGACCTGCTGTCAACCATATTTCCATAAGGAGGCTTCCGAATTTGGGATTCGCGTTATCGACGTCAATCAGCGCATCATCGTGGAAAGTGATCCGGCAAAGATCGACTATGCTGCGTTAAGTTATGTTTGGGGAAAGCAGGATGCGGAAGATGTCGATCTCAAGGTTCAACACGGTGTGAAAACAGAAGGTGCCTCTTCTGTCCTTCCGACGACAGTCCCCAAAATAATCGAAGACGCAATCTTGGTTTGTAAGAAACTCTCTATCTCCTTTTTATGGGTAGATAGGTATTGCATAGATCAGGCAGATCTCGTCAGGAAGGGATTGGAGATCGACGGCATGGGTTACCGCTTCCTTTACGCCAAGATCACATTGATTGCAGGAATGGCGCCAGCAGCTGGACTACTACCGGAATCAGTATCAAGCCACATAGAGGGACAGCAAAGGATAGAAACTGTTCAGGGACGTAAGTACATTACAGCTATTCCAAGTGTGGGGCATCAAATTCGAGATTCACAATGGAGTAATCGAGCATGGACGATGCAGGAAGGACAGCTAGCAAATCGCTGTGCATTCTTTGGCCAATATGACATTTCATTTCTATGCAAATCGGGACAGTGGAGAGAGTCCTTGCACTCTGGACCCTATGGTCACGAAGCTGAGATGCCTGGTGTTCAAACCGACTCCTATGGCTACCACGTGTTATCATGGCTGAAATGGCTGAAAAAAGATTCCTGGAAGTTTTCAGACTACGATACCCTTTTGATGTCGTATACGCCGAGGCATATATCCTTTGAATCTGACAAACTCAACGCCATAACTGGCTGCTTCAATTTGATTGCTGATATTAAAGGCATGTATTTCGTTTACGGACTACCTACAACCGATTTCCATTACGCACTGCTCTGGACCGGCGCATACGACCGAGCACGAGAGGGTTTCCCCAGTTGGGCGTGGGCAGGGTGGCATTGTCTGCAGCAGATGCATAGTATCTATCCCCTGGAAGGAACATGCTCGTTGAAAGAAGATGGACATGGGAATCTGCGAACTGTACAGCCAGACAATTTAGATACAGAGCTAACAGGCCTCCTCGTAGCCCTCACAGAGGCACCCCATCGTGCCAAAAAATGCTCACAACGCTTCGCGGACATCACTCTCCCCTCCTACAAGACGAACGCTATTCTCACCATTACCTCAGAAATGGCGCACTTTTCCCTTGACATAATCCCCTGCACGCCTGGGTTGAAAGAAGAATCCCGGAAAACTTCTCACTTGTTAGTTCCCTCTGACTTCGACTCCAGAAATGCCTCCAGCACCTTCGAATCCGCATCTGAGTACCGCACCCCCTACGATCGCTTCCGTATACGCGATGACCATGGCAACACTCACATTTATCATTACCCACGCTGGTACGACCACTGGCCGCCCTTGAAGCTCAATCTGCCCAATACCCTGCGCGGAGAAACTCTCACTTGGCTTCTGCAAGATGGTATTGAGTTGCTTATGATACTTGAATTAAAATTATTGAAGGGAGACGAGTCTTTGAAGACTTTTCATTTGATCTTGTGTCTGGGCATGGATAGAAGAGAAGAGGTCGCGAGAAGGTGTGGGATGTTTTGCTTGCCTAAGGACATCTGGGATAAGGCTTGTCCCACCGTCGGGACTGTTACAATTGGTTAGGTCTGGAGGCGAGGCTCCCCGAAGCCGTCGCAGTGTACTGTAGCACACGATATGCAGGTAGGTATGTCGTTGATGCCGTAGACAGGCGGAATAATGGTGAGGCTACGGCTTCGTATCTCGGTCCGACTTTCGCAGGGAAGCAACAAATAAAGCCAAGTTTTAAGTGAAAACTTGAAAGGGCAAAACTCCATCCACTCGAACTACCCACTCTCTTCAGTGTTTAGGATGTGACGAGCCTGAACTGAATTCACTGCATTGTCGATTGCGCAGAGCTCGAAACGGGGTGTGGTCCGGACAGCTGAGAGGCTGTGATTCTGCACGAGCTTTGCGAGTATTTTGCTGCTCTTGGGGATTGGTTCTTAACGAATGGCCTGCATGTATTTTCATGCAAGCCTGTCGTCTGAACGTCTTGACCGTCACACAAAGCGGGGCTGGCGCTTTTATCTGCCCCGCGGGCAGCCTTCTCTGAATCAAGCTGCGTGGCGCAGGTCCTGCATATCTGTAAGAAGCGCTGCCTAAAAAATCTTCATATACCGATCGCCTTCAGTTTTTATATTCTTCACCCCAAAGAATATAATCGTTTACCAATTACTATAAACTACGTTTCTGCATTATCACTCGGTAATCTTTCAAACAAAGGGCTTTCATCTCACCAACGAGGCTGTAGTCCGAAAGAATGAGGCTGGCTGACAACCACGACTTCCGGTCAATCTGAGCAAACAGTCAACATGGCAGACCCTCTTTCTATCGCGGCGAGTATAGCTGGACTCGTGACAATCGCCGATACTATCTTTACTCGTATATATCGATACACGAAAGCCGTCAAAGATGCAGCAAAAGAAATCCAAGCGCTTGGCTCAGAGATCACAACGCTCTCTCGGCTCCTTCGAAATTTGGAGCTTGTTTTGGGCGAGTACGAGGAAGATACACCTGATGCCAACTTACGCCTGCATCACATAAACTCATGTCGAGAGACTTTGCTGAAAATCCGCGACAAGATCGATTGGAAAACTACGGTTGACCCTGGCTCAAGCAAGTCGACACTGGAAGCTACGTTGCGGAGATTGAAGTGGCCGTTCAGTGGATCTGAAATGAAATCACTCCTCTCCGAAGTTGAGACGCACAAGAGCACCATCAATGCTGCCTTGGCTGGCGACAATCTTTCCATGACCCTGCGAGCCTTATCACGCCAAGACAAGATCTCCGAGGATATCAAAGGCCTGAAGACGGAGCTGGAGACACGGTGGGCAATGGAAACGCATATCACCATAACGAGGCAGAGACAAGAGATACTCCAATCTTTTGAAGAGCTGGATCCAATGTCCCATCACCGGACGAACTTGAACCTCCACCATCCACTTACCGGACTGTGGCTAACAGAAGGTAATACTTTCAAGACATGGCTCTATACACGCAACTCGAAGTTGTGGCTTTCAGGTATCCCTGGTGCCGGGAAGACAGTGCTAGCAGCTTGTGTCGTTGAAGAAGTCATAAAAGAGAGCAGCAGCACTCGAGCTGCCGCTTACTTTTATTGTGACTACAAGGATATTAAGACGCAAACTCCCATTAACATATTCAGCTCTCTTGCCACCCAATTAGCAAGACAGAACGAAATGGCTTTTGCTCACCTCCAGAACCTCTATGAAAAATATCATCCAAAGGGCAGTACCACTATCTTACTAGAGCTTTCGGCCCTAGTGAAGACGGTCAGTCAGCAGAGTTCTTGCTTTGAAGATGTCTCAATCGTTGTTGATGGACTAGACGAATGTGGTAATCATACCGCAGATGTTGTCCAGTCTCTCGCAAGCCTAGCAACCAATTCTGGTAGCAACATTCGCGCGCTCTTTCTGAGTCGAGATGAGTACGATATTCGAGAGATGTTGCAGCAGGAGTTTGGGCACGTAAAAATAGCCGCTCATAGAGAGGATCTAGAGCTTTACGTAGCCGCAGAGATCGAATCGAGGCAACGCAAAGTGGGGAGGGAGCAATTACGGATTCGGAGCTCAGGACTGAAGGACCATATCATTAAGTCGTTGGTTGAAGGAGCAGATGGCATGTAAGTAGTTGTTAAACCTATTTTGCGAAGACAAACTTTGATTTAGATATGTTTGTGTTGAATTTGCAGCGGCGATGCTAACTTTGATCGATAGGTTTCGTTGGGCAGCATGCCAACTTGACCTCCTTTCGGGGCTCCCCACCGATGCTGCAAAGCGCCAGGCACTAATGTCGTTACCACCAACATTATTCAAGACATACGAGAGAATTCTTGAACGCATAAGTGAAAGCAACTCTAGTGTGCAAGAAATGGTACAAAATACATTAAAGTGGATCCTCCATTCGGAGGGTACGATTTCAGCAGCTGCACTCTGCGAAGCAGTATCGATCAAGGAAAGCGATACCACCTTTAATAAGGAGTCGCTGCATGTGCAGGAGGATATACTGCTTTATTGCAGTAGCCTTATCCGCTTATCATCTTCTGGCGAACACTTTGAGTTGGCACATTTTACTGTGAAGGAATTCCTTGAGAGTTTATCAGATTCCTCAGGGCCCCTATTCGCCCCATATTCGCAGGCTGAAAATCATATTTATCCATATTTGGCAAAGACTTGTTTGGCCTACATCAACTTGGATGTTTTCCGCGGAGACGTAATCGAAGACTATGACACTTGGGAAGACCAACAGAGGCAACACCCCTTCCGCACCCACGCAGTCTCTTATTGGCATGAATATGCCGAGAATGCATGGAATGACGAAAGTATACGTGCACATGCCCGCGAACTTTTCTGCCTTTCCAGAACATCACTTTTTCTCTCTTGGGCTCGCGACTACATATACCTGCCGACGGAAAATGAAGAAGTCGGTTTCAGACAAGCAACCGAGCTTATCTGTTTAGGGAGAGTCAATCCTCTTCATATGGCATCAGCTCTAGGGTGTGTGGAGCTATGCAAGTTGCTTTTGGACCTCGACTGCTCTATCAACCAAGTCAGTAGCATGGGAACCCCCGTTCATTGCGCACTTATCGGGGCATTTCGGTATTCACTCTCCTTAGAAGACGGATATTTGCCAGATAATGCCTATGATCTTTTGTACGAAAGTAGAGCCGAGGTATTCGATCTACTGATCAAACGTGGAGCTGATTTCTTTGTTCCATACAAAGGCATCCATGGTAAAGAATATTCTTGTTTACAATTGGCTGTTAATGTTGGTATGGAAAAAGGAGTGAATCACCCAGTGGTCAAGCTTGTTAAGGCTGGTAGCAAACTTGACGACGGTATTATGAGTTCTTTGCAAAAGGCGGTGACCCACTACCATGTTCGCGGCACTGAACTAGCTCGCCATACAAAGGAAATGGTCGAAGCGCTTATCGCAAGTCTAAACGAAAATTCTCAAGAAGGTCCTGTCGTGTCCGAACTTTTCAAGCTTGCCCTCCAAACGAAAAGCTCTGCTGCAATAGAGCTGGTCAAAGATAAAAGTGAGGCATATCGTCATATGGATATCGGGGACTTGGAAGAAAATTTTTCTCGGGCAATAACAAATGACCAGCAGGAAGTAATACAGGAACTTCTGACTGATCACAGATTGAGTCCCGTTGCGGGCTTTGGAAAATATAATGAGACCGCATTGCACCTGGCTGCCAAATACGAGTCCACCAACGCGATAGTGCTTCTCTTAACACTCGGAGCGGAAGTTGATGCTCGAAACCAACTCGGATTGACACCTCTGCATTACGCAGCAGCCAACAAGAGCAGCGATGAGCACACCATATCTTTACTTATTGGTAATGGCGCGTCCACGGCTGTTGGGGATCGGAACGGTAGGACCGTGTGGCATATTGCAGCAGAAAATGATAACGCAATTGGATTAAAAACATTGTCACGGGTGGCTGATTCAAAACAAGAATCGCATCTTTTACCCGATGGAAACGGCGTCATTCCGTTATTTACTGCGGCAATCAAGCTCAACAGTAGCGCGTTTGAAACGCTACTCGGCAAAATGGAAGCTGATCAGTATCTTCGAAATAAATGCCCCAATGGTATTGGACTTGTTCACTATGCAGTCTCCATGAACTCCATCAAGCTTTTGCGGATGCTTAATGATAAAGGGGGCGAGCTTCATCAAAGGGCAGATGATGGAAGAACTGGGCTGCATTTCGTGCCTGAGAATGTGGATGCCACGATAATTAGAATGTTGACCGATGCTGGTCTCAGTCCAGATATGGTTGACTATGATGGACGAACCCCACTCCACAGCCTGATCCAAAACGAGGTGGAAATCGACGAGAATGTATTCGCTATGCTCGCAACCGACTCGACAATTGCAATGTCTACCAAGACTGGACTGACAGCGTTACAGTTTGCCGTCTCTGTTGGCTCCAAAGAACAAGCAGATTATAATTACCGCGAACGTATCTTCCAAAAGCTCCTTACAAAGGGCATCGATGTCCACGTCCGGGATTCAAATCACCTTTCATGTCTCCAAATGCTCTTCAGTTTCGAGACCCAACGGCCCGAGACCGATGAAGTGGAGTCATCATGGGATTTTGAAGACTTTGTTTATTCAGTCGCGACATCAATCACTGATATAAATATACTTAATGAGACCGTTACGTGGGATGCCTATTCATACAGACTCATTGGTTGGGCGATTCTCCGCAAGAAAGAATCTTTAACAGAGCTTCTCCTCTCGAAGGGGGTTGATGCGAACCTGAAGAACTTATATACCACCAATTCTGGCCTGGATGTTAATTGGACCCCATCTCAAATGGCATGTTTCCATGGTTGTACCCCGAAGCTGATGAAAAGTCTTCTGGAGCATTCTCAGGGATTGCTTGACAACACCGACGAAGGATATTCGCTGGCGCATTTGGCATGTATGAAAGGGTCACAATCCGCCTGTGCATTACTGGAAGTGCTTTGTGAATATGGCATTGATTTCAATTTACGCTCGAGCCAAGAATCGCAAACTCCACTTCATCTCGCGGCAGAATCCGGCAAGCATGATCATGTTAGGTTCCTCTTGCAACATGGCATTGATTCCCAAGCAAAGGACTCCTACGGGTGGCAGGCAATCCACTTGGCAGCTGCTGGAGGGTACCATGGGATCTTTAAGCAGTTAATGGATTTGGATTTCGACTGGAATAAAAGCACTATCAATTATTATACAACGTTTTCTCATACATGGCACACTAAATGCAATATTCTACACCAAGCAGCAATGGGAGACAGTACATGTATAATCCAGACGATTATAGCCTGTTCATCAGTGGACGACATCAACGTATTGAATGGGGAAGGACTTTCGCCACTGAGCATAGCTGCTGCATTTGGAGTTGATGGCACAATTGAAGCGCTACTTTCTGCTGGCGCTGACATTGAAGCTGAAGACCCTAGCGGATGTCGAGCGCTTCATATGGCATCTCGGTGGGGCAAGTTTGAAAACGCACAGATACTGTTGGCTCATGGCTGCTCCCTTGTCTGTGATACAAGGGGGATGAGCCCCGAACTTTATGCGTTGAAGTATGGGCACAATGATATCGTGGATCTACTAAGGAATCATGAGCGAGGTATATATTTGTCCTCATTTAATCACTTTGTCTTGTTCCCCCCCTGTCACCAATAACTACCTTGATGGAGCTTGAAAATGCTCCTAATTGGAAAACGGCGGTAGGGTGGATTCTGTCTTACGTCTACTTTGAACTACTGGCTGGATAGCCGGATGGTCTATGAATATTAACCTGAGATGATGGATTCTCCTATATCAAGCGTTTGACTGACACCATCTCTCATTCTAGAAAAAGTTAAGCTCGATAATTCTTCGATTGCCCAACACCAGAAACAGTCGAGTACTATAGCGACACAGAGCCTATCTATTGCTATTGACTTAGACGATCTCTTACTTTGTAAAAGGAGCGTGGAAAGCGGCGCGGATCTGAACAAGCCACACGCGAGCTGCAAATGCTGCAAGCCAGTCATCATTGCCTTGATAGACCGCAAGTTTGAAATAGCTTCCTATCTCATCGGAATGGGCGCTTCGACAACGGGACAGGTATGTGATACATCGAAGTACCGTGGTTATTCCGCAGTTCATCTGGCTTGTCGAGATAAATCTGAGACACAGCTCTTGGTTCTTTTGCTGAAGAACGATCTTAAGGCAGGTAGCCTATCGTTCCAAAGCCCAGTTAATCCTATCCATGTTGCAGCCACGTGTAGCAACATACCTGGACTCAAGATCTTGCTCCAGCATGCGCAAATCAACGATTTGACCTTCGTGTACGATCTAAAGATTGATCACCTCGCCTTAAAATGGGCTTGGTACCTTTCTAACTCAACGAGTATATCACCAAGGATAGGCATTGCGAATCCCACAGCTATGCATATTGCTGTAAAAGAACGCAGTATAGATTGCATCAAACTCCTCCTAGAATACGGCGCGACTGTCGATTGTCTCAGAGGCATTCAAGAGACCCCACTACACGATGCCGCTAGATTAGGTTATCTAGAAATTGTACAGTTGCTAGTCGAAAACGATGCCAAACCCAATGGACGATGTATAGGCCAAAATCCTGCAATGCATGCAGCTAGAGGTGGGCAAACAGAAATTTTGAGGTATCTTGTTGAAAATGGCACCCCACTCACTCAACGCGACGTGGTTGGCGATACCTTGTTCCATGCAGCTGGGTTCAGTAATGCACATACATTCTCCTACCTCCTCCAGATTGGTTGCAATCCCGAAGTAGAGAACTATAGGGGTGTAACACCGGTGGGGATTGCACTGGAACACGCTACGAATAATATGGCCAAGGTATCCTTGATCATGAATTGGGACCTTGACTACGAACGCTGCATCCGCCAAGTACCTTTCAAATGGTATGGTTATTCATGGACTGTTTTAAAATTACTATTCAAGCGTCTGGGATTCGCTAGGACGTCTCAAATGATCAATATTCCTTTCTCGGAACCATTCGTGCGGGAGACCTTGCTTACTAAAGCCTCTAAGTATGGGAATATCAAAGAACTGGATGTATTGATCCAAGCAGGAGCTAACCTCGAACTCGAAGGTTGTCCTGAGGGTACTGCGCTGAATGCTGCGTGCCATGAAGGACAACTTACATCCGTCATATACTTAATCCGCGCTGGAGCGAACATCTTTGGTAGCAAAGATGGCCTAGAATTCACCGCCGTACAATCTGCGCAGGACAACCCAGAAATACTAGAGTGGTTGCTAGTTAAGCGGCATACCCAGCAACCCAAACTTTGCTGGGAGACTGGACAGACGGTAGACGGAGAAATGGCCTCTTGGCAGGGACCAATGCTGGCGGAGGTCCCAATCTCTGGGTTATACTCACCGAAATTCGGAGCATCTTCGATAGATAGGGCAACGGAGTTGTCTCAATTGAGGAAAGATTTGGAAGGGAAATTGGTTCATTTTGATGCGTTTGTTTAATCTTGATTGGAGTTTGGACTTTTTCTTTGTAGAAAGCCAACTACGCTATACTACAAGCCGTGCCAGCGGTTGCGGTCCGTGATCTGCCGCGCGACTGGCAGAAGCGCATGGGTGCGCACGCACTGCAGTATTTTGAGGGTGTGGCGAAGACGAGCGAGGCCCTGGGTTTTGTAACAGACGACATGATGCAAGAGGCGGTGGCGGAGGGGGTTGAGAAGAACGAGATTCAGATCCAGGTCGTTGATAAGCTGGCCAAGGGGACGTACCATGAGGTTATGATTGAGGATGGGGTTTTGTAAATTCGCACGGCCGCGAAGAACTATACGGCAAACTTCAACACTGTTGGGCAAGGACTGGTGGACCTTCTATCAGAAATTTAGGATGGATATGCGTTCCTTCCACTGGGAGAAGGAAAAGTACATAAAAGGGATAACTTTTCAGACACGAAGTTGTTTCGCTTAATATTTGAATGATATGCATCTACTCCTCACCGGTATTGGGGTAATCCTTCGTTAATTCCCTTTAATGTGTTCTCTGATTCGGGCTCTTCCTTCATGTGGTCTTTTATCTCAATGTCGTTCTTAATCCGTTGAATAGCTGAAATTAAGCATTGATTCAGCTTTCATGTTAGACTTCGTGAGTTTGCTGATACTGTTGAGAAAATTCTTGATTACTTTACTTAATAGACGCATTAAGAAAAGGCCAGAACTCCTGTTCAAGGAAGTTCTGGAGTTATTGGATATATCTCCACTTTGCTAAAGCTGATGGCAAGACTATTTGTAGATCGAAGAAACTAAATACGCAAGTTGTAAAACGGGAGAATAGATAGATATGCAATGGTAAGATATAACAGGGAAGAATTGGAAAGTAAATGACTGTTTTAATACATGTCAAGACTCGTGAGTTGACCCTATGATACAATATATGCTATGCAGACGTAGAAACAATTATATAGAACCGACAAATACAACATGAATCACCACTTCTGGTGTTCTGGGCGCACCCCCTCTTTGTTAGTTGCTAAGCCGACTTTGCTTAGTGCCTCGTTGATCGAGTGTTGATAGAGTTCTTTCTTCACCCATTATACTTCGACTGAAGCTTTGTCCTGAGCGATAGGACCCTCACCCCGCACAGCGACAGACTCCCCTTCTTTGACATCCTTCTCGCTACCGTCTTGTACCGGACCCCACCAGTCATCCTCTAACAATCTTTCCAAGGGCCGTTGCGCAGTATGAGTACGCAGCCTCTTCACCGGTCTGGTTTTTTTCGTACTCATTGTAGTTAACCTGAACAACCTATCCTTTGTCATCACGTTTCGAGCCTTAGTGGGCATCATTCCGGTTCCAAATGACTCTGCCAGGTTGTAAACAGACTGTACAAATTCCTCTTGCGTACGCTGTTGCTGTATAGAAATAGGTCGTAATTGTAGCTCGCTCTTCCTACCGTCAATTCGTCCAGCGTCGATATTTGTATATTCAAGTTTCCAGCCCTGGTAGTTGAGCATCAACGAACGTCTTACTTCACGGCCAACGAATAGATATTCAACATCGTGAATGTCAGCATCGGGATCTTTGCCAAGATCGATGAGGCTGGACTCCTGGCAGAGGTGCTTTGCAATTCGCATTGGGAGCGTGGCTGGCAGATCTACTCTCCGGCCCTCGTATGTTAGATTGCTGGCGGCTAGAAAGTCTTTAATGTGCTTTGATTCGAGCCAGCGAGTTCGGAGGTGGCTGGTTGTCTTCTGATAGAAGCGCACATCAACTGCTTCATTTGGAAGCATGAGATCTGTTCCCTCTTCTCGAACCACTGCTTGAATAGACGTGAGCCTTAAAGCTTTGGATTCGTTGACATGAAAGTGCATCTCGAGTGGAGGGAATGCAGAAAGCACCCTGGCACCAATGGATTTATTGCTGCTTGGGTGTTTGTAAAATGGATTAGGTTGGAAGTGCAATACGAGAACCTCATGTGGCACGTCACGAGTGTATAATTGACATTTTTCAAGCACACTCGATAGATTCGGCAAGGCGGTACTGAACGTGCGTACGGCTTGATCGGTTTGTTGAAAAGGTGTTTTGGGCATAGCTTGCGAGTCACGGTTGAAGTGGCTGTGGATAACACTTCCTAGAATACCGGATGATGCCGTCTCGTATTTGTCATTCCAGTATGTTAGTCCTTGAAGCCCTTCTTTAATAGCAGAAGTTTTTGTTTTTGTTTTCGTAGAAGTTGGAGTCACGCTGTTATATTTTTGGGGCAGTTCTTCCTGGTACAGCTTCTCAGTCTCGCTATTCTCATCGGGAGCATCCACAATGGGTGTAGACTGCCACACCGACCCTTCCTTGGCAATAGGGATCGTCCAACGGGTCCATTTCCGAATTCTGTCCCTCCATTGCAAGCCGTCTACCTTGGCGTAGTCGGAGAATATACCACTTTCGACAGGGGTGGAGTCGGGCATTTTACAACCAAGTCGGTACTGCTGTCTGGTTGAGAAGTGTCCAGATGTAACAAGAAGGCGACGTGCCATGCCAGCTCGATTTAAGAGCCAAACATCTCGCTCGTTGGTGAGGCAGGATATGAGTAGCTACTGCGGTTAGTGATATCAAAACGAATAGCAATCGACACGTACCTCTTTCGTTGGACGCTTGGCACCAGCGATCTTCTTTTCAGGAATGCGGATCATTTCCGTATTCGTAAGATGGCCAAGCTCATGCAGCGCTGCGTCGTCAAAATTCTTGTCGGCCCATCGATTCAAGTGTCGGATTTCAAGTCCTTTATCATAAGGCATGAGGTCTAGAAGCGACAATTTTAACGTCTGGACATTTCCCAGTATCCGCCTGAGCTCAGTGATGATGACATCGCATTTCGCCCGAGACGCTGTGATTCGTATGACTCCTGTTGAAGGGAAACCCTCAAGCTTCTCGATGTACGTCGGCAATAAGTCTTCTTTCATAGCATCTAAAACACGATGCTCTGTGGTACTTGAATTAGCTTGGGTAGTCTATAAAGAAATCGAAACCCTACTTAACAAGAGGTTTAGATGTGTAACACGCATCCGAACCTCCATAGAACCAATCCCGCCATCCAATTCCGGAACCGACAGCTTCCAGCACTGTCTTATCAACTGAATAACAACACGTTGCTTAGAAGTATGCGACGCCAATGTATATCCTCTCGAAGACTGCTTGTAGTCCTGGCCCACAGAATCTCCAATCGAGGGGATCCAAGGACTGCGTTCAAGAACAATCTCTTCGATTAAATCGTCACTTAGTGGCGACCAGGTAACAGTGTGGGGGCAGGAATCTTCCGCTTGTTTGTTCTCAAAAGATTGGATGTATTTCTCCAATTGAGGGACCGTAAATGACTCCTGAAGGCTCTGTACGAGGGTATTGAAATCGTCCCAGTGTTGAGGTTCCTTGTCCTTTTCTGGTCTGAACTCGTTGATGTTTTCCACCACTTCCTCCTGGCTAATCAGACCCCTTTCTTCTTGTACTTGTTCCAATATATCAATATGTTTCGCATCTAGTTGAGCAGGTGCATCATCGGGATGCCTTCCCGAGTGATCATATCGGTGGATCTTCGATTCTCGAAGGAGCAGTACTTCGGCTGGAGCCCCTAGGTTCTTCGCATCCTTCAATGACTCCCGCTCCTTGAATAACGAATGCCCTCGAAACCCATATGTCTCTCCTAGCTTCTCCTCCACGGGACGATACCTGAGAAAAGGCGCAAGAGGTTTATTGGGTCGTGTGAAGTGTGAGAGGGGAACCAGAGTCCGGCGTACTTGTTGATACTTCTCAGGTACATCTTTTTCAGACCCCGAATCGGTCGACTGAAAAGCCGCTTGACACCTGGACGGGGTAGATTGCCGTGCCAGACGCCGCTGGCAACTCAAGCATATGTGCGGTCTAGAGGTTGTTCGAGGGATCATGATGCGACTGATGTTGAAACCTGAAAGAAAGTCTGGAAGTTTTTTGATCGGTCGAAAGTCAAGCGAGGTCCGACCACCAAGCAAGTCGCGTGAAGGCGCGTCTCCTTCTACCACCCCGAGAGTTCACAAAGCATACATTTCAATAACAGTGCCTCTTTTTCCTGCAAGCCACCGAAACTTCACATAGCCTTCTGATATCTCATAAAAATCGTCAATATGCCTTCTAGGCGCCGTACCGTACGTTTACTGCCACGCGCAATCGTCACTTGGTACTAACCATGCTAGATGCAAGAGGAAGAGGAATCCGAGGAAGAACCTACCCAAAGCACACACCGCCGACGCGGGCGCGCACCAGCCTCTGAAGATGAGAGCGAAGGGGAGGAAGAGGAAGAAGTCGGAGGCGATGGCGTGGATGTCGATGGAGCTGAGTCCATGGATCAGGCTGTGAAGAAACTCGTGCGATACGCGCTAGCTTGCGAATATCAGAGAATAACGATCAAAAGAACGGGAATATCCGAAAAAGGTCAGTACTGCAGGTTACATGGCTGCATACATATTGACATTCGCAGTGCTTGGGAAGCAGCCCCGCTCATTTAAACACGTCTTTGAGGCAGCACAGAAGCAACTACGGACAAAGTTTGGCATAGAGATGGTTGAGTTGCCACAGAGGGAAAAAGTTACGTTGAAAGCAAAGAGATGTAAATCTCTCGAAATTTTTTCTGGAGTACCTGCTAATATCTATAGCTGCTGCGAAATCAAAAGGAAACTCGAAACCAACGGCCTCCTACATTCTCTCAACAACCCTCCCCGCACAATATCGCACGCCCGAAATCCTTGCCCCGTCATTAATTGGCAGTGAAGAAGACGAAGCGACCTATATCGGCTTATGCACTGTGATCGTCGCCTACATTTCCATGAGCCCAGCAGAAGCAGTTCCAGAACATCGACTTATCAGAGCGTTGAAGAGGCTGAACGTAGATGAGAACACGCCTCTTGGCAAAACGGATGCAATACTAAAGAAGATGGGCGCCCATGGTTACATCTGGAAAGTGACGGACAGACAGGGTGACGAGGAAACCATTGACTATCGGTTGGGACCGAGGGGAAAGACGGAGATTGGGAAGAGGGGTGTGCGGGGTTTCGTGCAGGAGGTATATGGCGACTCAGCTCCAGATGATCTTGATAAGCTACTGAACAGAAGTCTCAATATGGATGTTGCTAGGATTGAACAGGTGGACGGGACAACTGTTATAGCTGAAGAGGACCAGGGAGAACCAGAAGCAGGTCCTAGTAGGGTTAGATCGTCAGGGAAAAGACGAAGAGCGGCTGATGACGATGAATGATTTTATGTTTGATGTACTTGGGAAAGGGACTGGCTGGATATGACTGTCGCAAACAAACGATCGAATTGTAGTACGATATTGATGAAGCAAATAGCGGCTGAAAGGTATCACTTTATATTCTTGCTGATCGTTTTGTAGCCTCGGACTCTTGCATGTATCCACCGTATACCCATCCTGGATATTGCCAAACGCCTTGGTAGTACTTCCCAATAGCCTCGATAGGCCAACTCCATTTCGTTCATTCCCAGACACTACTCAATCCTGCACCTCCGGCGGCTTCCCAACAGGTTGAATCATTTTCTATACCTCATTTAGCACACATCCCTCATAAGACAACCCCTCCCATCAGAGTACTCACCTCAATCATAGCCCCTCTAACCTTCTCCCTACACTCCCCCATACCAATCGCCATATAACTCAACAACGGCGGGTGGCCAACGTAACTAGCATAGCTGTCACGCTGAATATTGGATGACCATTCGAATTTCGTAGTGTCTGCGTGCCCCGTTCCGACGTAGCGGGCTTGCAGCTGCTCGAGTTGTTGTTGGGCGCGAAGTTTGTCTGCCTGTAAGGAAGGACCTTAGCTTAGCAGGAATCGAGAAAGGGAGCTTGAAGGTTTCAACATACCATATTGACGATAGGTTTTGGGTTGTGGGAGACGATGAGGATGCGGTGCTTGGTATTGGGATGCATGCCCATGCATTTCTGTCGGGCCGGAAGAATATTTGACCGATGATGCTAAAGTGAAAGTGAGCTTTTTGAAGCGGCAACCTCAACACGCCGATTCAACCGCAAACAGTTCCAGATCTCGACGACTCTTGTCAATGAATATACATCTGATGAATTTATATAATATCTAGGCCTAGGGGTATTTAGAAAGCGAACATACTAGGTAGATGCTTTAAGAACCTCCGTTTGCTTACTACACGTGATATACACGTGATGTGAGTTTCTCCTATTCGTGTTGAAATTGAGTCTAACATGATCCAGGGACCTTGAATTACAAATGAGGCCAGGTCACGGCAGTCGGCCTGGTACGGCATCTGGGCCTGCCAAATTAGATGCGAAGCTACTTCAAGGAGATCGTTTTCGAGAATCCAGAGACAAGCTTGAAACTAGCTTGAAGAGTATTGAAGCCTTCTATGCATCCCCACAGGCTCCACGCCATGCTGGCCCGCCAGATTGTGGACGGTGCGATACCAAAAAGAGGCGGGTCGCTGAGGCTTACTATGAATACTATCTTTCAGACGCCCCAGGAAGATGGGACTCTGATCTCCTCGAATATCGAGAGGAGATGCGGAGGAAGTTCAACCAGCCCGAAGGACCACAGCTAGAAGAGATACACGCCCTCTTCCAATCCACTCTTCGAGAATACCTCAAACATTCTCTCCTCGCCTCAAAAGCAACCGACAACTCTGATGTCAATTCCTATAAAAGTATGGCAGCCGACCTTCTAGAGCAAGGAAAAGCAACCAACGAAGTCCTCGAATACTACTATACCTCTCAACTCTACTCCTGCAACCAGTCAGCATCATCCATAATTCGCGCTTTGAACGAATCCAAAACCCCTCGAGAACGCGCCCAGATATACATCTCATTCTACTGCACACCCTCTTCCACCGACACCCCCCAACAAAAGAACATCAAGCAAAAATATGCACGCCTATTCGAGCAACTCATCCCCCATGACGAGGTCCTCGCCGCATGGCGCAAAGAAGCCGCTGCTTCCCAAGAAAACAAAATAGCGGATCTAAGAGGGAGACTACAAGAGCTGCAAATGGGCCAGAGTGCGCATCTAAAGGATAAAGCGAGAAAAGCCGCGAATGCGCAGAGGAGGGAGCCGAGTCCGAGCGTAGTGGCTTGCCAGAGGGAGGGATGTCCGCTTGATGTTAACATTTCGGGCGTGGAGGAAATTATCGAGTGTGCGGTCTGTGAATGGCTGGAGCGGAATGGGGGACGGGGTGGAAGGTTTTATTATTGTTCTTTTGAGCATTGCGAAGAAGACGCGGTGAGTTGTTATTCCTGGGATTTGATCCGATTGCTGATTTTTGAATCTAGGAAGAGCATGAGCATCGTAAACATCAATGTTGCATGGACAATCGATGCACTTCCTACCCAGAGGCGGGACCGAACGAGGTGGACGGAGCGCAGATGTGTGGCCTTTGCCCGGATTGTAGATATCATGATGTTGTGAGCTACTTTTGCTCCGAGGATTGCTATCGTGAGAATGTGGTAAGTAATAAATACATCGTTTCCAGGACCGAAGACATGCTAATGGGCTTAGACCACGCATCGTGAGGAGTTTCACCATGGAAGGGATATCCCGAGCACTGGTGCACCTTTTGATAAATTTCAAGCGGCCATGGACGTGGAGATTATGTCCTAGATACCTTTGTAGCGGCTTAGGTGGCTGTCTACGGAGGATTAAGGGCAAACAGATCAATAATATCACAATTCAACAAACCATACTTATCCTATAGGTGAGATGGTATGTTATATAGGGTACCAGAGACATGGATTTTCCGTAGAGAGGAATAAAGGTGATTACTGCTAAGAAAACAAAACTGCGTTCAGCTTTGCGCATGAAATAAAACCCCAATTCCGAAATGCGCTGCGCTTTCCAGATTCAAATACACATCATGTGCATTATTCTCGAAAACCTACAAGCAGGTGATGCCAATACATGAAGCCACCAACTATCCTCATTAGGAAGGCGACTCAACTCTTAGCAGTAAGGTAATGGATACCACAAAAGCCACAAACCCGAGGAAGGAACAAATGAAAAGAGGTGAAGATGTCAGCCAGACTGTCGGGGTGGTGGTGGATAATCGCTCGCTGATCTCTTCCCACTCCTGTCCTGGCGTACCGTCGAGTTGATTCGGCCTCGCCCCCCCCCCCCCCCCCCAACTCGCTACAATAAAACGTCATTGCACCATTTACGGGAAGCTACTCTAGTAAACGTGCACCAAGTTGTCCCTCCACCTCCACCTCCTCCACCACCGACACCTTTTTGAAAAACACCGTCTTTCGTAGAATCCTTCAAGCAATAACGGCTTCCTCAGCAAGCTTGACAATCTGTGCAAGGGTGGCCGGCCATTGTGCCCCCTGCGGAGTAAATACCAACTAATTCCCCCGATAATTCATGCAATAGACATTCCTTCACGATGTCTGAAGCTGGAGAAGGGTCAGTAACACCTTCCCTTACCCCGACGATAAGTCTCTCTTGCTGATTGCCCCCAGAATCCACAAGCGCAGCAAATCGTCCATGCTGTCATTGCACCGACGAAAAGAAGGCAAGAATGATGAGACCACCTCCGAAGACAGCTCGTCAACCATGTCGCAGCGCGGCCACCTCGGAAGACCATCAACAAGCACCGCAAGCCTTATCCGCTCAACCTCCAACCTCATCCAAGCCTCGCAGCACAGAGCTATGCTTTCGAATCCGCCCCCAATTCCACAAGACAAGCCGGTCACGATCGAGCAATCGGTGCGCAAGTTTCGCGTCTTCGAGGCGCTGCGGAACGGGGACACGGCCTCGATCTCGAAAGCTATACGGGAGAGCGATGGGACTCGATCAAGTATATCTAGTGTAAACGGGGGTCCGAGTGGGTTAGATGACACGAGTATCTTGCACCTGGCGATACAGTGCGCTGAGCAACCTGTTGTGGAGTACGTGCTTTCTGATGGTGCGGGGTCAATTGATATCAATTCGAGGGATAAGGATGGCAACACGGCGCTACATATTGCTGCCCAGCAAGGACGGTCGCACATCGTAAAGCTACTGCTTGAACAGCCTGGTATCAACGATTCGATTGCAAACTACTCTGGTCGTCTACCCATCGATGTCGCCCGCACCCCGGACATTTACCAGCAATTGCAGTTATCGCGCTCGATATTTGTAGATGGGAAGGTCAAAGAGGTGCAAACTTTGGTTCAACAAGGAGATTATAAGAAACTGGGCGAGGTTTTGGAAGAGCCTCGTGTTAAGACTGTTCTGGATATTAATGGAGGCGAGTTTGCGAGCGATATCACGACAATACAGTCTGGAGGTACACTGCTGCATGAGGCGGCTAGGAAGAGGAACACTGCACTCATACAGGCTCTGTTACTTCATGGGGCGGATCCGTTCAGGAGGGATCGTAGGGGCAAGCTTCCGCAGGATGTTACGAAGGACGACACTACGAGAGCGATGCTTAAAAGATCTCCGGCTGCTGTTGCCGCGCAACGAGGCATTCAGGAGAAAGCCGTGCTTGGAAATGCTTCCCAGCAAAACTCAACTGCGGCTCCTGGTGATGCTTTGGCTGGAAAGGAGGGCCGCGAGATGAAGGGATATCTGAAGAAGTGGACAAATTACCGAAAGGGATATCAACTGCGTTGGTTTGTACTGGAAGATGGAGTGATGAGTTACTACAAGCATCAAGATGATATAGGAGCTGCTTGCCGTGGAGCCATCAATATGCGAATTGCGAAGCTTAATATGGATCCAACTGAGAAGACGAAATTCGAGATCATTGGAAAGTCTTCAGTCAAGTATCACCTAAAGGCAAACCACGAGGTTGAGGCCAAGAGATGGTTCTGGGCTCTTAACAACTCTATTCAATGGACCAAGGACCAGGCGAAGGAAGAAGATCGGCAGAAGCAAAAGAGTTCAGAGATCTTGAGGCAAGCGAAGCTTGAGCATAGTGCCGGGTCGAAAGATCCATCTGCATCAGAGCTCGCGAGTGAAACTGCAAGTATTACGGAAACCCGACGAAATAGTTACCAGGCCAGCTCCCGACTTGCACCACAGCCTAGCAAGAGCGGCTCGTCTAAGGTTGCCTTTAATACTGCTGGAAGTGTTGGTGATGAAGATGAAGGGACCGCGTACGGATCTTATGAACCTAGCTTCATGGGGGAAATGGGCAAGGTACCAAGCAATGTTGGTACAGGCATAGACGGGGACGACGATGACGATTATGCTGAAGGTGAAGGTTCAAGCGATCGTGATACACCTGCAAGCAAAGATGCTTTTGACATCACTGCCCAGTCGGCAAAATTGCAGTTGGACATGATGGCATCTGTGAATGCAGCCTTGCAAACCGAACAAACCAGGAACCCCGCATTCACAATTTCTGACCCCATGGCTGTACAAGCCGTGCAAACCTACGACTCATCCATCCGCAATCTCAAGGGTCTTGTTGGAGATCTTCTGAAAATTTCGAGAGATAGAGACGCCCACTGGCAGTACCGCCTTGACCGAGAAGCAGACATGAGACGCCTCTGGGAGGATAGTATGGCGCAGGTAGCAAAGGAACAAGAAATCCTCGAAGCCCGAGTTGGGGAGGCTGAAGAGAAACGAAAGTTGACGAAACGGGCTCTCCGTGAGGCGATTGGTGGCAGTGTCGCTGTGAGCAGTCGACCTGCGAGCAGAGGTGAACCCTCACAGGAGCTTGCTGAGGCCCTTGAGGATGTGAAGTTTGAACAAGGTGTCAATGCTTCACTTGAACGACCATTTACGGCGAGAAGCTCCCTCCGACGCAAATCTATTCTACAGGAGATTGACTTGTCGGATTCTGATTCTGAGGACGATGAGGAGTTCTTTGATGCTGTAGATGCCGGTGAGGTCCAGGTTGCGCCAATGCCTCCGGTTAGTCCACCTTTGAAGGGCGACTTGCTTGAGCCAGGGGCTATTGATTTAAGCTCGTCCTTCCATGGTTACGAGGATGGTATCCGGAAAAAGCTAGCTATGGATGCTGATGATAGACCGAAAATTTCTCTCTGGGTAAGTCGCGTGCCTCCTTTTTTTATGGGCCTGCTAATAATCTGCAGAGTATTCTTAAATCCATGATTGGAAAGGACATGACGAAAATGACTCTTCCCGTATCATTCAACGAACCAACATCACTGCTTCAGCGATGCGCCGAAGATATGGAGTATTCAGATCTTCTCGATATTGCAGCAGATCGACCTGATGCCGCTGAACGAATGGTTTACGTTGCAGCTTTCGCCGCTTCCGAGTACGCTTCTACTATTGGCCGTGTTGCTAAACCCTTCAATCCACTTCTTGGAGAGACATTCGAGTACGTGCGCCCGGACAAGAATTATCGCTTCTTCATTGAGCAAGTAAGCCATCATCCACCCGTTGGCGCAGCGTGGGCCGAGTCACCCAGATGGACATACTACGGGGAGTCTGCCGTCAAGTCTAAATTCTACGGCAAATCTTTCGACATTAACCCACTTGGTACCTGGTTCCTCAAATTACGCCCTACCAACGGGGGCAAGGAAGAATTCTACACTTGGAAGAAAGTAACTTCATCCGTCATCGGTATCATCACCGGTTCTCCAACAGTTGACAACTACGGCCCCATGGAAGTCAAAAACTGGACCACCGGCGAAGTCTGTCTTATGGACTTCAAAGCCCGGGGTTGGAAAGCCTCCTCTGCATACCACCTCACTGGCCGTGTGAACGACAAAAACGGCCAACCACGCTTTAGCATGGGCGGCCGTTGGAACAACAAAATATACGCCCGTCTGACACCTGGATATGAAGCGACGCCCGAGGAACCCAAACCAGGGGACATGCAACGTCACGGCAATATTACTGACCCATCCCAAGTATTCCTCGTCTGGGAAGCCAATGCGCGCCCAACGGGTATTCCATTCAACCTCACTCCCTTCGTCGTCACGCTCAACGACTGCAACGATAAACTCCGACCTTGGCTTCCTCCGACGGATACGCGACTCCGTCCCGATCAAAGAGCCATGGAGGATGGGCAGTACGATTTCGCTGCTACGGAAAAGAATCGTGTAGAGGAGAAGCAAAGGGCGCGGAGGAGGCAGAGGGAGGAGAAGGGCGAGGAGTTCAGGCCACTTTGGTTTGTCAAGGATAGGTGTCCGGTTACTGGAGAGATATTTTGGAGATTTAACGAGAAGTATTGGAAGGCTAGGGCGGAGAAGGATTGGCATGGTGTAGAGGAGATTTTTTAGGATTATGTGATGTGGGTATATTATCTGGCGATGGGCAAAAAGTATTACATATGGAGCGATTGGTGATGGATGCGATGGGCTTAAGATGGAGCAACAAATACAGAGGGGAAAAAATAGTATGTTTTTGGTGGTGTAAAATGAATAAATGCCGGCTTTCCTAAGGTAAATATCTCGCTCACCTCAACCACAATCCTTACCTACCGAGCCTACCCCACCTGTCCTATGTCGCATGTATTACATAATCCGATACTGTACCACCTGTTGCCACCAGTAATAGTGCAGCCACCGATAAATATAAGAGTACAGTACGAACCTAGTTTGAAACCTAAAACCTATCCTATCCCCATACATACATACATACATCCTAAACAATCAATTCATTCATTCATTCACAGATCCCCCTTATCTAGTCTCTATCTTCAACAAACAAATAGCTCGGCAATGAATGCGATATAGTAATTTACTTGTAGATATTGCGCACACGCTCTCGGCAATCGATCGCGACGTGCAACAAAAACGACAGACGCACGAGGTGGAGGATTCGGCAGTTTGAAATGCCACGTGGAAGCACGGGTTGCACGTGCGTGGGTTACATAGAGGGGCACGGATGGGGAAGGAGGGAGGGAGGGTGAGGGTTAAAGGGGGTGGGTTATGTAGGGTAGGGTAGGGTAGGGTAGGGGATTTTGATGAAAGGGGTAGGCAGGTAGTGTGGTGGGATTTTTGATGAGTGAGGGGATGGATGGTCGCGCTTCTCTGGATTCGGAAGAGCGCAGATACCGTACCGTAACTACCTGCTTATCAAGTTTTAAGCTGAGCTGCTTCAACGCTAATTAGAATGGATATTTAGAGGCTTGAGGAAAAAGGGGCACGAAGAATCCGGGCGCCATACTGTTTCAAATCATGCGTACGTTAGTGCGGCTCGTCAGGCCGTTTTTGCGATTTCTGCTGGCAGCATCTGGCTGGATGTTAATACTGTTTTCAATTACGTGTGCGATTTCATTTCTGTGTTTTGTTGGTTTTGTACCAATAGGCCCATAAGAATAGGGTTGTCTTTCACTTGGAACGCTCGAGTGAGAGATGTTTTCAAACCCTCGGTTGCTGCATGAAAATTCTAGGCTATAAGAAGCTGATTTAACATATATCTGACAAGACTATACATATACATCCCTTCGTCTCGCTTTCTCCACATACAGGCGTCTCGGGACAGCTCAGGATCAAGATCATACTCAAATATCGTTACCACGGAGCCCTCTTGCCAGACAGTGGATTCCCCGTTCCAGACAACTCACTCAATGGAGTAGTCGCCGTAAACGGCTCACTGCCCGTATTCTTCCGATTTCTAGACCCCAGACTCCTACTCCCTCCATTCATCTGCGTCTGCGTATTATTCTCCCAATTCCTCGCCGTATTCTCCACCTGTGCTGCCATCTACGTCTCAGCCCTATGCGCCGTATCCTCCCAATCCTTCCCCTCGTACTCTGCCTTGACGGGTTTCCTGTGCTCCCAATACCACAACAGGCGCAGCGAAGACCTTTCTACATTTAAATAGAGACTTGAATTAAAGATAACTTTCCTCAAGGTAAGTCTCAGATCGCCCGCACTCAAACGCTATACGCAATTGCTACAATTGCAAAAATCAAAATGGAAACTTGTGTATACCCTTTAGAAGGGCTTGGAACGAATAAGAAAGGCTTTGTATCTTGTGCTTAAAAGGAGCAATAGGTTGTTGACTTACCATCGCGCAGCTCAGCTCCGTTGAAAAATACATATTGAAAACAATTACACCCAGCGGCTAGTTCCAGCTCGTCTTACAATTTCCATTTTCTCCTATTTCTTCACATCTGGTCCAGTCTCTTCATGTACCAAGACTTACACATCGCTGTCATGGTCTTCTTCAATAATGCCTGATTAATCAGCATCTCCTCAATCTCCGTCCTTTCCTCAACCTCCACATCATGAATAACCCATTTCATGAATGCCCCAATACCCTTCATATCCCTCTCGATGCCCATCTCCTCAAGGTACGCCCACCCCTGCTCCAATCTATTCACCGTCACCGCCGCTTCAGCAAAGTTCTTGGCATTCTCCAATTCAGTTCCACCGGGTTTGTTTTTCAGTTTCTCCGTGTTGGTGACTTGGTGCTGCAGCCCCTTCGTCTTCAGCCAGAACCTCGCATCGCTTCCCAGTGGATGTTCCGCTTTCCATACAATTCCTTCCCCCACACCGGAAATCCCAAAGGTTTTCGCGAATGGGCATTCTTTCTCGACTGCTAAGGTATGGGCATGCAGCTTCTCTCGAGATCTTTTAACATCATTGAAAACCAGCTCTTCGTGGTAGAAGCCGCCCCTGGAAATGTTGTAGATGCCTACGGCTTCGTTGTGAATATCCGCGTATGGCTCATTGGGTAGCCACGCATTGTTGATGCTGACGGAGAGGATGACGAAGTATTTTCGGGGCAGGTCAGAGATGGCGACGCCTTTCTGTATACCCGGACCAATCCATTCGCCAGCAATGATCGTCGAGAACTCCTCCTTAATCTCTACTCCAGGATTGAGTTCCATAAATCTTTCCCTGTATCTCTTCTTCAGATCCAATACCTCGGCTTCCAGTGGGAGAATAGACTTCGCAATATTGTACAGGTCTTTCTCTCGGCTAAGCCCAGTCACATTGCGGGACTGCAGCTGCATCGTATTGTCGCTGTGGATCACAATGTCTGCGTGTGCGCCGTGAAGTTTCACCGTTCCGATAAGTTTGAGAATGGTATCTAGATTTTGGGCGGTCGGGGATGTGTCGGTTCCAGTCTCCTCTCTCAGCTTGTACAGCGTGTAGTTGTAGTCTTTAACTAGATCGCCTATCTTTCCGGTGATCTTTGGGAACAGAGTACTGGGTTGCTCTAGTATGGAAGACTCTGCAGTAAAATCCTTAATCTGCAACTGTTCCATATCCAGCTTTCCCTCCACCATGCTAGGAGGTGATTTGAGTGTGCTATCACCCATCGTGGGTTTTTAGTAAAAGTTGTAGAAGGGAGAACCTCGATACCAATTCTCTCTGGGCCGTATAAAGGTACTAAAAGGAATCCGAGAGTGTGTTTTATCAAAGCGATCGGAAGGTCTAGGAGGGAATTATTTAACAGCTTCGAGGACCAGAAAGTTGGAATGAGTCAGGCCTGCATATATCGTCACTAAGTCGCTTTTTCCTAAGTGACTCCAAATATTTATCTAGAGATAAATGAAAATAGTTGCAGCTCTAATAAATCAGGATAATTAATGAGCGAATTACTTGGATGTCTTTAGTTTGATAATAATGTAGACCAAAGTGCTTACTGGAAATAATATAAAGAAAGACGGTTGCAATAATTTGAGGATAAACTGGACTCGTTTGGCCTTGACTCATGTCCAGGAGGAGCAGCTAAGCCCCCTTTTTAATTTAGCGAGCGGCAGCTAACTTAACGTGGGTTTGTAGCAGCGAATGAATCAACTAGTTTCTGATTCTCTCAAAAGGACTAAGTAATACCTTTAAGGAATGTCCAGATTAATGATCCCCTTCTTAAAATTATCCTCGTGGGTCAAGTTCAAATATAATCAGTCACGTGTCGACCCCGCTATCTCGTGGCTGTGTCGTTAGACTTAGACACCCAGAAAGCAACCAATACAAGGCAAGTTACTAGGCCAGCAAAGTGCACTATGTGATACCAACAGGCTGCGCTATAAAACATTGAGCCGAACTCCTTCCAGATAACGACATACCAACGAATATAGTTCAAACTTCATAGCTAGAAATGTTTTCCACTGATCTCTCGACCAAGGTGTACGCAGAAGAAATCAGCGACTGCCTGTGAAGCTTTCCTGTTCGCACCACCGAGACCGAGGTAGCATACCGTAGCCCACTGCCCACAGCCGACTGCAATATGCGCCTCTTGAACGTGAAGTCTCTACAAATTGAGCTGTTTTCCGGCTCAAATGTTTCAGCGTACGTTATACTGTCACACTGCTGGGGCGGTGGCGAGGTCTCGTTTGAGGACATCAGTGTCCCTGGCGCTGCATGGCTGCGTAAAGTCGGAGCGAGGAAGATCAAATATGCCTGCGAACAGAGCATGAGAGATCAGTGGGCTTATGTTTGGATAGATACTTGTTGTATCGATAAGAGAAGCAGCGCCGAGCTTTCCGAAGCAATAAACTCCATGTACAACTGGTATGAAGAGTCTCATGTCTGTTATGTATACCTTGAAGATGTCTTGGGGGGGATTCAGATTCTACCAGAGACGGACCTGGATTTGCAGTTTCATAAGAGTCGATGGTTTACTAGAGGATGGACTTTACAAGAGCTCATTGCCCCAAATTATGTCCTTTTTTACGACAAAACTTGGAGGCCTGTCGGGTCAAGAGAAGCCTTAGCCTCCCACATTTCAGCCATAACCAAGATTCCCGAGAAAATATTGAAGGAACCATTGGAGCTGGGAATACGCCAGTGTGGCAAAGAAAATGTCATGGGCAGCAGGGAGGCAGACGACTCGCATTGAAGATGTAGCCTATTCTCTTCTCGGCTTATTCGACGTCAACATGCCTTTATTATACGGCGAAGGGACCAAAGCCTTTATTCGCCTACAAGAAGAAATTTTGAAGAATTCGGATGATCAGTCACTGTTTGCCTGGAACACACAGCAAGATGCCCCCTGGGACGAGACTTCATTACTCGATAATGGAGTTCTAGCTGGGAGTCCGGCCGCATTTGCGGACTTCGGGAATATCATACCTTTTCCCGTAAAGGCCAAACGACAGCCATATTCAATACCAACAAAGGTCTTAGGATTGAGCTCCAGCTTAAACTGGAACATGACAGATTATCACAAGTCCACGCAAAGCGAGGCTACCTGGCTTTGCTTCACTGTCAATACGAAAATGACTTCACTGGGTGTATTGGCATAATATTGAAAGAAGCCTCTGAGCCGTCCGTTTTCTCAAGGCATTCGGCGTACGGATCGGGGATGAGGAAAGTGGATATCGACGAGATGGAAAGGGGGGAAATGTGTACAATCTATATTCGAAAGAATCCCCGACTGATTGAGAGTCAGCGAAGATATGAAACATGTATTGTCCAGCCGTCAGATGAAATAGAGAGGCATGGCTACAGAATTGTGGAGACGAGACCTAGAAACACAGTATGGAATGCGGACTCTCGAACTTTACAAATTTGGGTCAACCACTACCAAAGCTCTTGGGCGGCTTTACATTTCTGTAGTGCGCAGACGAAGCTTGGGTTTGTTGTGTTCTTTAAGATGTCAGAAGAGAGATATAGATCCTTTGTTAAGATCTGTGATTTGGAAGTAGGAGGCATGACACAACAATGGCTTGTTAGAGAGGCAAAAATAGGGTTTGAAAGTTCGCAAGAGTCATATCGCTTGATAAAAAAGACCAACGGGGAGCAGGAAGGAAAAGATGACGGCAAAGGAAGCCAACTGGTTACAGCAGTATCGTTCAGTACGGAGCGTTTGAACCAGGAAGTCTGTGAGACACTTCAGATCCAGCTCAAGCACTTATTTACCACTTCCCAAAGGTTGTATAGCTGACTCCTATTTGTTCGCAGGGGTTCTGGATGTTGACTTGGAAGTCGAAGACGTAAACCCGGTCTTATCCTCGCCATAAAAGCATTTTTGTAGGCTGCGAGTGGTATCGTAACGATGTGCGTCTGTCAATTACTTTTTTGGAGGTTGATTATTGTGTCGTAGAAGGAAGAAGAGGGAGACGTTGCTCGAGGAATCATGCCCGAATGTCGTGATGTGTAGAGGTTGAGATTGAGGCAGGTGCGTTGCTGTATCATTTATATGGCAGTCGCAGCCGCGGAAGCGCCGTTTGCTCCCTGCTCCCAGTTCCTAGTGAAATAGTCTCGCCCAACTGAAGACGCCATGAAATTGATAAACTCACTACTCATCCACCTTCTATAGAACCACAACAGATAGCAAAATCGACACTGATAAGAGATCTGAGCAGCATACCCAACCACGAACTAGCTGGGACGAAGAGTCGAGGCAGGCCAAAATTGTTGTAAGAGAAACGAAATCCACAATTGTGAGAAGTCAAGTATTGGCGTGACCTCCCCCACAATGTGCAACATCTCTTGCAACAACACTTCTTTCCGCAGCGGATCTTGGTACCCTCTTTTTGCGAGGACATAATACTGGAGACCGACTGAGCGAATGGTTACATGTTAGAGGTTTGGGCTGAAATCATGGCATCACAACAGCATTCCTGCAACACTTGGCAGTGTGGAGAAAAAATGAGACAGCGAGGTATCGAAACCCGCGAATTGCAATAGACTTTGACTCCATCAATACTCTGAGCACGAACAAAACCAGGATTTCTGGACCAAAAGTACAGAAGCAAAGCACAGAAGTAGAAATGAAGGTTGCCAGTTGACTGCAGTGCTCCGGGTTGAACGCAAAGGTGGTCTACAAAGAGACAATAGGGTGGTAAGAAAACACCTGGTAAGACCTCAGGCAAGATGGAGAAGGATTTGAGACGAAACGTTACTATCCCCAGTGGGACTAAGTTCTTAGAGTCTTGGAATCGTTCGAAATGGAACGAGGCACGATATAGGAGTCTAACAGCAAAGCTCACCCGCAAACGCTCACCAGTCGAGCCAAAGCGCCAAGTCTCATAAAGTCGATTGAGAAAGTTGCATGTGTGCATCTGGCTGGTCTTAGGCGTGTGGAACTTGCATAGGCAATCGCCCGTTCCACGATCCCTTGGGCCTTGGCTGCCTCGTACTCCATTTTGCACAACATGTACTCGTACGCGGCGTAACCGGACTCTGCCAACGAGACTTTCCAGTATCTTGGCTGTGCACACTATTGGGAGGTTCGCGACATTGAGACTTACAATATGATCTCCATATCCGGACTGCATCTTCATTAGCCTCTTGGCAATAGACCGTGAATCTTATGACGACGCTGCCAAAAACAATACCGAATCACCGATTATCCTCGTTTGAGAATGCCAAGATTTCCGTTTGACCAAGGCTTCCGTTTGAAACTTAGTCGCGGATCGGGGCGCAAGAACAGTGGAATGCCAAGAGTGATCGGTGCTTGCAGGATGGCTTGGCTGCAACACCAGAGATATCAAAGATCACTTTATTTATACGTTTTCAAGATGGCCAAGCAGCGCCAAGGATGGCTTCGCGCAGGGCCAAGTAAGTCTTTCGCGGCTTGCCAAGCTGATATGCACTTACTGAAGTCAGCCATTGTTTCTTAGGAGTAGATGGAGGTTGGAAACAGATATAAACCCCCCTTCGGACTCCCTCTTGTTCTCTCATCATTCCAACTCAAACTCACTTTTCTACTATAAAACTCAAGAACCAGCTTCTTCACTAACAGAACAACACTTCCAAATCATTGAATCCCACCAATACCTACCCCAAAAAAAATCATAATGTCTTCCCAATCTCAAGCAACCCGAACTGGTACGGTCTTCCCCCTCATTGGCACTTCCCTTCTCTTCCCGCCCCCTCTCCCGGACTACCATAATTCTAACACATTCCTCCAGAGCGCTCCTCTTCCACCGCCTCCACAATCTCCACAACCTCCACCGGCAGCTGGTTAGAACTAACCAGCGTCCACCGGACCCCCGCCACGGCAACCGCCTCCACCGGGCACCCCTATCTCGAGCTCACGCCCTCGGTTCCGAGCACTAGATTCCGCGGAACGCCGAACAACGAGGAGCAGCGCCGCCTGATGCTCCTGCGCGCGCGGGACAACTGTTAGGATGGGAAAGGAACGGAGCGGAAAGTGGATGTGCAACTGCCGGCGGTAGTGGGACTTGGCGGGCGATTAAGATGCGCAGGGGTGGATATCACTTGGGGCCTAGGTTTTGGCTTGGCGTTTCTTGTGAAATTATTTAAAAAGGATGTTTGGCGTTGGAAATGTATGGTGTTAGCTTGGCGAAGGAATAAATAAGAATAGGAAGTAAGGATAGTTTGGACACGATATACTTTGACTCGCCTTTGTTGGCCTGTAAGAGCAGAAGCGAAGGTTAGAGCTATAACTTAAGAAAATGAAGAGACCAAGCTATAATATAGTTTCGTCCCCAAGTGACTTTCACTCGTTTCCTTGTAGGATTCTTGGTTCAAGAGCTGCACTGGCTGACTCCAGTATCTGGTGCAACTAAAGCGACAAGTACTCGTGAGAGAGGACTGGTGAACAACCCCAGATTGAGGAGTCGAAATGACGAGGCACTAAAGAGGGGCTTCTGTAGAGGATGGCCTTGCCACTTGGCCAGCGTGATTTTCAGACTGTATGAAGAAATGACAAGGCAATAGATAAATAGCAATAGATATAGATCGGAAACTTTAAGATCACCAGCGTGGTGGTCAAAAGCATGACGAGAAGGCCGAGATGCGAAATGCAAGAGCGCGTGTAGAGAGTACATAGCTTTGATCATAATGTGCTGTACTGTCCTGATGCTCAAAGGACTGTTTGGAAATGGTAGAATAGGTATAAAAACTATATATCAGTATATACAACCCATTGGAGATGGCTGGCCTTAATCATCTTCTCCCGTCCATCACGATATATATGTATATACTTTTATATATGAGGTAGCACTGGTAACCCCACGCCCCCATATACCGCGCTTGCTAGTTATGCAATTCCCTTATGGTCTCTACAACAACAGCATGATCCTGATGTTGCTTCAGTCCACTGACAACAACTACCGCAACAACGCCCTCGACGCCCGTGACACGTATAGGTATCCCCCCACCATGTATAGCGTACTCCCCCGCACTATTCCCCAACCCATACTTCTCCCTAAACGCCACCTCATCGCCCTTGAACTTGCAATTCATATACCACGTCGAGCACCCCCACCTCAACACCGTCTTCCTTTTCCGCGCAACCCAGCTATCGTTATCCGGCATCACTCCGGAGTGCGTGCAGGTGTGGAAGAGCGGCTGGTTCTGGTTCGCGAGCGAGATGTTGATCACGACGGGCGTGGCGATGGGCAGCAGTCGCGTGCGCAGCGCTGAGCCAAGCTCCCATGCATCGTCGGTGGTGAAGTGTTCGAAGACGAGAGACGCATCGATGCGCGCGATGGATTCGAGCTGCGAAGCACAGCACAGTCAGCTCAGTTTCCTACAGCACAGTTTCCGAGCACGAGCATAAACACAACACGACCACCTCTCTGCGTTCTGCTGCGGCTTACATCTGTTGGAGGGTCTTCAATTGGCTTGGGCGTCACTGGGCTCGATATCGCTCTGGGAGATGACATGGTAATTGATTGATCGTCCCGCGAAGAGTCTTCGTCGTAGTATCGTGCTTTTTGCTCGAGTCTTTGACACTATACCCGAGTCAAGCAATGTTTTTTCTCCTTCAAAACGTGGGTCTCGGTCCCAATCCGGCGTATTGCGTCTACTTTCTCCATCTATCTCGAGAATGACGGGTAATTTATTTTCGTCTCTGGCCCTTTTACAACCTGCGTTGTTTCTCCTACTACTCACGGGACAGTGAAGTTCGTATTTGTCAGCACGCTGCTTGGATTTGGTTTCCTTGGAATTAGTTCTGTATTTTGATTTCAACCGCAAGCCGCAGAGTGTGGATATCGATCTGTTCTTTGCTGTTTCGTTTGCTGCAGCTCCACATATGAGATGTCGTCTACATCAGGGCGAGAGAGTTCTCGGTGTTTCTAATACGGACTGATATTACTTTTCAGACCCCCCAAGATGAAATTCCATTACTAAGAAGCAGTTATTACGACGGGATCGGATGATCATATAACTGCGAGCTTGCCAGGGTGGCATTGAAAGCTTGACAGCTTCTAGTGTTGCCTCTGAAAGAAGCGAACCTGAAGAGCTGGACTGATAAAAGCTCTGTGGATCATCAGATTCGATCGTTAATTCTATTATCGAACAAGTACGGAATACCAAAAGGAGCCCGCTATTATACTATCTGGCTCTAAAGGGACGGTTCCAAGACCAGGAGCTCATCATGGCCAGGCGAAGCCGCATCACCTGCACATGTTTCTACCACACCAACCTCGGTTTCTTCAGAAACTCTTGTTGACGCATCCCCAATCACTACTAAATCCGCATGTTTGAGTGATATCTGTGGGAGGTATAGGTTGATCGCTCTTTCCTCAATTTATACGCTTTGCTCCATTTCCCATCGTCTTTGTATCTAGCGATAGCACGTTTTCACAAGCCTTCTCATCGAGGCTGTACGAGAACCGCTTGATGAGTAGATATACATGAATGCTTGGTGCATGGTATTGCCACTGATCCTGAAAGTAATCTTGCATATCCCAGGACTCAGATATCTACTTCCGCCATACCCGGTTCCAAGGACTAGGTTTGGCGTCTCCTACAGACGAATCATTCAACGGCTCAAGCTTCATACCTGTACTCTCGGAAATAGTGTCTAGTGTCTGCTGCTCTAGTCCACTAAACACACTTTCTTTCGTAAATGTGATCGAGAAGAAAGTGAGGTCACGCGAAGGCTTTCCTATTCCCAAAAGCGAAAGTACAAAAGTCCGATAAAAGCAGGGGTGGCTCGCTATCTCTAGGTGTGTGAGATTCGTTGCGTGAATTAGCTGTATCGAATCTGCTATGCAGGAAGTTATGGTTTCCAGGTTTTGAATACGAGGATCCCTGAGATGGAGAGATATTAGCATAGTTTTAAATCAAGAAGGATTTGTACTTGGAATGTAAGACTCACTCATCCAACCCATCGCAGAGACGCAGTTTTCTGACCAACGGGATGATATTAGCCTTCAGCTTCAGATACAAGTTAATGTCTTTTGTATCGAGACTCATGACATTGAACTTGTAGTAAACCTCCAATGCCTCCCTGTACAGCTTAGGGCTCGCCCGAAATGCCGAGAGAAACTTTGAAGCACCCGGAAATCCTTCTGGATGCTGGTCTGCTTGAAGACACCTAGTGAAAACCATGATCCTAATCTCTGCTGGAAGTTTTCAGATCCGACGGCCCAGAGATCCTAGTTTCTTCGATTTGATGGCATAGTAGTTGCTGTCGCTATAAAGAATACTCCGTGGGCTCGGCGGAAGGGTTTCGTGGGCTCGAAGGCAAGCTTGGGCTGCTCGACGTTGCTTTCGAGCGGCTATCATGGTACCGGCCGTCACGGTATCGGCGTTATTCACATCTCGCGGTGCGGGGTAAGGCCGAAGATTCAATACTTCGGAGTCGCGTGTCCGGCTCGTCGACTTGCTGTCGAAAGCAGCCAAGGAGGGATCTGGAGAGGGCTTGCGGAATCGGGATAGGGTAGGAACTAAACCGTTCGCTGGAGTGGCATTGCCCTACATCTCCATGTTAATATTTTGGCCATGAATCTGCAGAGGTTTATGCAAAATACCGCAGGAGGGTGACCAGCAGATCCAGTTTCCTCCGCTCGAGCACAGCGTCGAGCCAGGAGATCCACCCATGATGGTTTGGTTGACGACATTTTGTGTCGCAGGAAATCCCTTAGGAAGGCCTCGAGATATTCTGCGAAGCTTGGAGGGTTTGATGGTGTCGATGTAAAGTCTGAAATGGAGGTGTATTAAATAAGACGGCCAGGAGCTAAGCGGGTACTACATTTCAACCAACCGGTGAATTGGGGACAAGGGTTAATTCACAGCTTTGCTGTCTGTCCCTTTGCCATGAGAAAGTAAACACTAGCGCTGGCAATTAAGCGACCAACCCCCTTTCCAACGTCCTCCACCGCTTCAACCACTCCCTCAACTTCCACCACCCACCACCCACCGCCTCCCAGTTCAATTCACCCAAACCAAGACCAAAAGTTTTGTTGCACATCGCATCGAAAATGACGTTGAATTAAAGTTTTCGGCAAATATCAGACGAAGGTATTCGCAGCCAGCTATAGTCCAGATAAGGGAATAAATTGAATAAATGCGAGATTGATGCTAGGGAAAGATATAAGAGTTAAATTTTCGCCATGGAAAGGGGCAAACGAAATACATGGGCGGAAGACAGGCTTGGTATTTCATAACGTATGTGCATTTGAGTCTGTTTGTGGTGATTAGAGGTGGTCTTTGATATAAGGATATCAGAGAAGAAAGTGGTAACTTTACCACAGGGATGCATTCCAGCACATCCATAGTTCTACACCCCGACGCCTAAAATATTTCATAATCACACATCTGTATAATCGTACAATCCGCATACATCACAATCATAAACTTCCGCCCGGCACCGGCTTATGCCCATCTCGCCACATACCCTCTTTCCTCTCCGCCATCTGATCCGCCAATTTGATCTCGGGTTCCTTCTCCGCCGTCGCTGTTCGCTTTTGCGTATAAAACGACTCAATTGCGCTCTTCAGGTCCTTCCTCTTCTCAGTTACCTCTTGACCAACACACCACGTAACATAGTCCGGATCAAGCGTATCAACCTCTGCTAATGTCTTTCCCTTGTATTTCCCGAAATCGAATCGGTATTCGCTGGAAGTAGGACTTGTTTTTGGGCTTGAACTTGATCCCCACATCCAACTCGACCAAGATGATGATGGGGATGTAGGGTTGGAATTAGATAGACGGATTTCTTCTTTCCGTGCTTTCGCTTCGTTGATGAGGGCCAGTTCAGAGGTAATTTTGGATTCTCGGTCTAGTTTCTCTTGTATTGCTGCTGCTTCCCAAACTATTTCCAATCAAAATCAGCAATCAGTTTATACCATAATACTACCCTTACCATCATACCCTTGTTCTAAGATCTAAATGAGAGAAACAAACATACTTGGTTTATCGGATTTCGCATAGACTTTTAACTTCTTGACGAAGTTATCGAAATCCTCCTGCTTTTCATGTCGGTTCTCGAGACTTCGTTTTTGTAACTCCGGGTTGTATCTTAGGAAAAGTTCCTCTTCGGTGGGGGTCACGTAATAGATTAGGGCTGGGCCGCCGATGCAACATATGCCGCCGCTGTGAAGACATCAGTTTGTGTTGGAGGGG